TACGTTTTATGTGAGAATAGATTAAGAGAAAAATGTTAAATACAATATACTAAAAGGTCATCATAATTTCTCATCTTGTCATATGTCTCTAACAGTCAAAATCAAAATTATTCATGTGTTGTTCATAAAATTTTAATAGTTGTTTTAAAAGTTTGTAAACTTGATGATTTCACCATTTGTGATTTGTTCACTATAATAGTATCCAAATTACATAATTGCCCTAGTTTTTTCTTTGAGAAATTGATTTTAATATTATCTATATATATATATTTTTAATTTTATTACAGAAACAAGCTTCTTTAATTTTCTACGCCATGCAATTGTTTATCTTCATCAAGAACACCACAATTCTTCAAATTGAAAGTTAATGGTTGATTACTGTTAAAATCGATCTGAGTGTTGATTATTGATGCTTAAAATTTTAGTTCAAATAATTATTTAGTGTCTTACTTTAAAAATTTCAGATCTCAGTCGTTGGTCTTTAGAAAATATCGAAGAAGATAAAATGGGTCCTCTTTATTTGGCATTACTTAACTAAATTGGTGATTGTGGGTCATTTGTATTGGTATTTGAAGACTTTGTTGTAAATATGAGATAATTTGAAGAAAATTTAATGTGCTTTGATCGAAATTAGAATTACAAATTTGAAGAATACGTTATTGAACAATACAAATAACTTATACCAATCGTCTAGATTTTGGTGAACAACTTATAATATAAGTTGAATGCCTATAACACAAAGTCATTTCAATCGGATAGATTTTGATAAACAATTGGACAAGCACAAAGTCATATTAATGCGGTAAAGTTTATGAACAATCTAAAAAATAAGTTGAATGGAGATCAAACAAAGTTATGCCAATATAAGGACCAACCTTATAGGATATTCCACCGCCAAAGGATGTGGCGCAGTGGATGGAGCTGCTCTTCCCTTAACCAGAGGTCTCGGGTTCGAGCCCTGGGTATGGAAAAATCCTTAGTAGGGAGCGTTTCCTCCCGAATGGGGCCCTACAATCCAAATCTCTTCTATTATCCAATCCAAATCTCTTTTTTCTTAAAACCCAACAATTTGGCCCAACATGTCAGTTAACTGGGCTTATGAGCTCAAGGCCCAGTATCGACCAAACCCGTATAAAGACATAAAACTAAACGCGCGGCCAGGTTATACTTTGTGAAAGGAAAACAAGAAGTAGGGTTTTAGCTTTTCACCACACAAACCGAAGAAACAATGCCGAAGTCGAAGCGTAATAGAGTCGGTATAGTACAACCCTTGAAATTTTCAATATCTGTTTGCTGCGTTCCTACTCCTGAAGCATTTGATAAGGTGTTGTAGTATATGTTTTTTTTTAGTAATTTCTGAATTATTAAGCTGATGTGTTGTGGTTTCTAATTGCAGTGACCTTGTCGAAGACGAAGAAGAAGGGTAAGGAGCACAAAGAAAATATAGTAAATACAATAAGAGAATGTGCAGAAAAGTATAGTTCAGCTTACGTCTTTAGTTTCGAGAACATGAGAAATCTCAAGTTCAAGGAGTTTAGAGATCAGCTCAAGTCCTCTAGCAGGCAAGTTTTTATTTATTTTTCGTTTGACAAATTTGCATGTAAAATTGTTAATCTTTATCTTAGTTGCTTAAAAATATTGTAATATCCTGATATAAAGGATTTTAATATCAAAAGCATACATGTTGGGACATTTTCGAGTTAAGGCATCAATTTTGCTTTGATTATAGGAAGGTTAGTTATGAATAATAATGTAGGATACTATTAGCTTATATTTTGTTTATAGAGTTCAGAAAATAGCTAATGTTAATTAGGGTCGTATGGAGGTACTCTCTACTGTTGCATGTCCATGTTTAGAATTTACACGTTGTGGATACCTTGTGCCTAAAATTTTAAATCCGACACATCTGGCTGCTCTGGTTTGCAAGACGTTGATATAGACACTATATTTTACTGAACCTAGAATTGGCTGGTCTGGCTATTACAGCGTGTCAAGAGTACCTTGTGTACATATAGTGAATGTGTTATCATTAAACAATTACATTTTCTTATACAAATCATTTTTGGGAGGATTATTGATTGGAAATTAGTATTGAGTTGGGAAGTCTTGAGGGTGATTTTTGTTGGTCTTTCGTATTAATCAGCAGCATGGAGAGTGTATTAAGCATTATTTCTTTCTATTTCAGATTTTTCCTTGGATCAAACAAAGTCATGCAGGTAGCACTTGGCCGGTCAGTCTCCGATGAGATTAGACCTGGTCTCCATAAGATTTCTAAGGTAGGGCATGCCTACATACTCTCTATTATCTGTCAAATGTCAAATTGATTTTTTTATTCTGTTCAATTATTCTAATTGATATCCTGTCTGTACAGCTCGTACGTGGAGATTCAGGCATTTGCTTTACTAATTTATCAAAGGAAGAGGTCCAAAGGTAAATTCACAGATTTAATGATGCATTTGAGCTACTGGAACTCTACACATTATAACTCTGTTTTTGATTAGGTGAAAGGAAAGCTTTACTTCTATTAGTGAAATTGCTTTATAAGTTTGTTGTTAATTGTCATCCTTGTCTATTGTGCTATATCCAAATTATTTATGCTGATTGTGGTTACAGCTTAACATTTTGTTGCAAAAAATATCTAGCCAATAATTCCAAGTCAAATGTCTGTGGTTTTTCTTCTTCCGCTTCTCTTCTATGTTGCAACTTCATTCCTTGCGCGAAAGTTACGCCTGTATCCTGTAGCACCAGCTGTTTTTCTCTGCTGGAGTATAACCTCTGGTGTTTGATTCTTGCTCCCTCCATTTCTTCCATTTTTCTTTTGGCTCATCATTTTAAATGTTGTCAGGTTGTTTAATGAGTTTGAAGAATACGACTTTGCAAGGACTGGCAGTGCAGCAACAGAAAAGGTATTGCAAAACTTTTTTTGTTAATTCAAGTTGTTTATTTACTTTAATGGCGGTGTGCGCGGACCAGATTACTCACACCCTGGTTAAATCACCTGGTATGTGCTATCTCCCACTAATAATAGGTTACCGGCTAATTTTGTCCATCAAATCTAGACAGAACTTCTAATCCTTCTTTATCCAACCTTGTATTTAAATTTAAGAATCAGCTCACCTCCGCACATTCCATGATAAAGCTGTTCTACTTAATTGCGAAGTAAGGTCCAGAAAAGAATAATCTTTTCTCCTTGTATATAACAAAAACACTCAAGCTTGAAGTTAAGTGATGTTATTTGTTTCTGTGGAGATTTAGTGTTTCTGTTTTAGGTTTTGCTACTGAAAAAAGAAGCTTTTGCCACTATCTTTTGGATGGTGAATTTATTTCTGATAATTTGAAGCAACTGCATGCTAGCTTCGTTTATATTTACCTGTTTCCAATTCTAAGTATGTTCTGACTCTTGTTGCCATATTAGCTATATGTCGACTTATTTTTTATAAAGCTAATTGCCATTTTGGCTACTATACTAAGGGCGGTTTGCTCGAGAGCTCCTTCAGAAGATGCTTCAACTGATGCCTCTTGCTATCCATGTGCTGTTTAGTCTATAATAATTAAGCCATATCGATTATCATATCCATTTTTGGTTCTAGAAGATAATTTGGGGATATTTTTATTTAATTTGATCTCAGCATGTATCTATGGTGTCTTCAACAAGTACCTTGCCTCAATTTTATATTCCAGTTAGTTACTGGGTTCTTATTTTTGGTCCTTATTTGATTGAGCATTTACATATGGTATCTTCACCAAGTACCTTGCCACAATTTATATTTCAGTTACATACTGGGCTCTTATTTTTGGTTCAATCTCTCAGGTGGAGCTACAAGAAGGCCCTCTTGATCAGTTCACACATGAGATGGAGCCATTCCTACGAAAGCAGGGGATGCCAGTTCGATTGAATAAAGGTACTAATCTTCTGCTCCTCTGCTGTTTTTGTTTTTTGCTGATTGATGATTCTAACGTAATTTTAGTGTCTAATCTGTCAATAGCTATCTGTAAAAATCTCTGATTCATCCACCTATGTTGCACGGTGAGCAGGTGTTGTGGAGCTTGTATCTGACTTTGTTGTATGTGAAGAAGGGAAGGCATTGTCACCGGAGGCAGCTCGCATACTGGTTTGTTTATATTTCCACCTATCAAATTTCTGAGGATAGTTCCATTCTGTATATTTCTTGTGTCATATTGGAGGTGCCTTGTAAACATGCAAAAAGATCAAAACAGCATATGTTGAAGTTCTTGAGAATTGAAAGCAATTACCTTGTTACTGTGCAGCGTCTGCTTGGTATCAAGATGGCTACTTTCCGGCTCAACTTAATATGTAGGTGGACTCCTGACGAATTTGAAATCTACAGAGAAGGATTGGAAGAGTCAGATATTGAATCCTCATAGACAATTCTCTCACCTCTGCGATGACACATGTTTTACAAGATAAAGTTGGCACGGTATGGGTTGATCTTTTGGTACTCCTAGAACCTCTTGCTAGCTGAAGTCACAGAGGGGGTGTTTTTTACTTGGTCTCAAGATATTACTTGAACAGTCATCAATTTTGGCAATATTATAGCTTCGGTATTCAGACTTCAGTATGTGTGTGCGTGGAAAGTGTTCGAACTATTTTGACTCTTCAATGTAACGGATTTATACTTCTTCAAAAGGGAAAAAAAAATGTAACAGATTTTATGTGAAATTTCCTACTAAAATGTACAACTTCAAATTTTGTTCTCAACGTTTGTTGATGGTTGGCCTGATGTCTAGGCTTTCTGTGAGCTCATCTGATTGATTTAATATCTTTCTTGGTATATCTTTTTAAGAGATGGAAAAACATTTAAATAAGAGATTACTTCAATCGAATAATGTCACCGTTAGACCGGCATGATATACTAAGAATAGTTTTGAGTTCTGACACTAGCGTATATACAAAGTACTGAAATTGTCGTTACTACCAATAATCAAACGGGTGTGAAGCATTTTCATCCTCTCTTAGTAAAAGAGTGAAATTTTATCCAAAAAGAAAAATGCATCATTCCCTTTTGCCAAACCAAAAAGAAAAGTGTATCACATATTTTTGGGACAGAATCAGGATCTTTCGGAAACAGATCAATTTAGCCAAAGGCATTAATTTGTGAAGTTCATTCGCAAAATAAGTTATGACGTTGATGGAACACTCAATCTAGAGGTTTAATATGTAAAGATGATTGAAGCGCTTCAGAGTTTTGACGTCTTTGGAAATCAAGGACCACATCAGAACAAGCAGCAGCCATGTCCTCAAAAAATGGAGTACTACCTGAAAATTAACACAAATTAGATCCTATGTTGTTTTGCCCCTAACTAGTGCACAAATTACAAAATAAACACACATTTCCCTTAAACAAGATCTTTGGCGTTGAGTGTATTGATGCAGTGGTAAAATTCCAGCAGGCTACCGTAACTTAAACTACGAGTTTCTTCAGCCTAAAATTAAATTCATGATGTCATGCTTCCAGTTCATCCTTTTTATCCTCCAAAACCTTTAACTCTTTTCGCCAGCTTTCCAACTTAGCCACTTTTTCCAGCTGTTCTGGCTTCATATCCTTCTCCTCAGTCTTCTGCTGTTGAGCTTCTGTCAGCCGAATCTACACCAAATAAAGCAGCAGTTGATTTAGTGAGCTCAACAAAAATTTAAAGCTCCAATGGTGACCTTTAAGTGCAT